TATTTTTATTTATTAAATTAATTGCTGATCTAGAATTATACAGCATTTTTAAATAAAACTAAATCATTGTGACTAATAATGCATTCACATGCATAAAAGCTGATGAAATAAAACGCACAAGCAAAGATAAAATTTTATTGGGTAAATAGTTTACTATAAATTCCAATTAAAGAAACTATTTATTCTTACACGAATACTTAATATCAAATTAAACATTCAGAGATCTATTAATCGTTATTATACATTTAAAAACAAGGTATTTAAATTTCATTTGTCCCACAAGCCCATTTCCTTCATTTTCGTTTGAAAATATTGCTGTAAACTAACAGAACACTGATAGTATTCGGTCTCTGGTGAGTTATAAATTCTACAATTCGTAAAAATTCGAGTCATATCGGCTATGAACAACCTTCTTGTAGAATAATATCTATTCTTCAGTCTTTCACTCATTGTTTTTAAATCTAGAAAAAATGAATATGATGCAATAAAATGTACATGGTTTTTAATAGGTAATTATATATTCTTACCCATTGGATATTTTATGTGTTTGTAGTAGTCAGGGACCTCTAGTTTGTTAACAGGTTGTCGAAAAGGCCATGAATCTTCGCGATTTTTAACCTGCAATCAAATTATTCATTGACTTGACTGTTGCTTGTTCAAAATCCACAGTAAATAAATAAGAAAACAACTTAGAAGATTTTCACTAATTGCAAATTAATTGAATAAAAGCAGAAATGTTCTAAGAAACAGTTTTTAAATTAATTATAGGCCAACATGTTTCCAATTACTTATTAAAAAAACTTACCGCATTCAATACAATTTTGAGCATACTCGCTAAAGTTTCTGCATCTTGAGACTCTTCTAAATGTTGACCACCTCTTGTGGCCCTTGCTGGAGGTCTCCATCCAGTCTCTTGAATACCTGGTATTGATTCAATAGGAATTGGTCTCACACCTGTGAATAAATACAGTAATTATTTAACTAAAATTTAAATAGGTATAACATTTTCAGCGAGTAAACCTTCTTTGAAACATGTTAATCCTGGATGCACTTTCGACACGGTCCTTTGTTGTCTGTATATTAACTGTTTTATTATTTCTTTTTGTCTTCTTATAACCGACGTAAATTCAGTGTAAACGATTCTAGGATTTAGTTCACAGTGCATTAATGTAGCACCTTCATATTCCTTAATGTATCCCTGGTATATTGGTTTTGATATTTTAATGTCCTTTGAAAAACCTTGCTTTTCAAAATATCCTGAAACTCTTCTTATCAAGTATATGGCAAAATAATAATTTTTGATAGAAATAAATATGCAAATACAAAAATACAAAATTACCTATTGCATATTCATCAGCATATGAGAGGAAATGTAAAACATTTTTTCTAACGTGATAATCTTTTAAGTGGTTCATTAAATGAGTTCCGTAACCTTTGACCTGTTCACTTGACGTTACTGCACAAAAAACAATTTCAGTAAAGCCTTGGGTTTCGCAAATGTAATAAATAAACTTTGGCATACAATATTTATGTAATAAGACATTAATGCACAAATTATTTTTTTATTAATTGTATGGAACGTTTTTGGTACGGTCTGTAAATTTAACTTCAATTCTTTTTAACGTCTATGTATAAAAAACGTGGTATTTACGAGTTCTCTGTCTTCGTATTCTGCAGTTTAAAAACATCTTATCTCTTACAACAAACAAACAAGGTCGGAATTCGTATTTTGTGCATTTCACCGGCAAAAGTGAGTTGGTGTACTACAGAAAGTGAATTTAATCTGCTGTTTGATGCAACGAGATGCGGTACGTTTCGAATTTATTTATAATATTACATTTTGTAGCTTCTTATTAACTGTTTAAGATAATTGGTGGTAATTAATAATTACATATTACGTACTATAATATGTTAAATTAATCTTGAACACGTTTATGTTCATATAAAGATGCGTTTAAGATTAATTTGATGATAAAGATAATAAACAAGTGCGAATCTTTCTGGATAGCTTAATAAAGTGCTTTTATATTTTAAATTTGTTTAAGGACCTTTAAATGACTCGTATTTTGTCGTGAATTTTCGCAAAGGTGAAGTAATAAATAATTAATCCAATTCCATTTGATAACGTTTCAAAAAGTTTTTGTTTCTCTTTAACTTAACTACATAGTAATTCAAAATTTATTAGTAATAATAAAAGAAGTATTTTTATGAACCTGTTAATTTGAACCCAAAAAAATACGACCATCATATATTATTATCCAACCTTTAAAAAATTAGCGATATGTTTCTGTATTTATTTTTTATCCTGAGAAAAGGATTCAAAACTCCTCTTTTAATAAATATTACCAAAATCGTCACTGTGACTGATCATACGACCACCTGCTGTATTCTCCTGATATAGAGGAACAATTTCTTTTGATTTTGAGACAGTTCATTATAAGCGGATTCCACTATAAAAAAAGTTGTATCCGCGTTAATTGCTAATAGTCTTGCATGGATTTCTGAAGTCATTACATGAACGTTTTACACTGCTAACACTATCATTTGGTTTTAGTATTAAATTTTCAAATTATTGATTAATATATCGATTTCTGAAATGAAAGAGTCTTTAAATTAATCATTTATATGTTCAATTTCCAATAGGAATCAAAGAAATATAATACAGCATAACTTTATGATAAGGATATTATTCCAATGCTCGTGAAATTTAGAGGGATATTTTAGCTTTCAGAATAGGTTTGTATTTGTACTAGTATAAAAAGTTAAGTAATTAGCAAATCGCATTACGAGTAAACCTAAAAAATTCAAAGGGGAAGATTTGAGTGTAGCTAGTTTTCTTGGTAAATTTTTAAAGGATATCTTTTATTAAAAATTCAATACAGAGGGTTCATACTGTCCTAATTCGGGT